TCCTTTCCTTTCCTTTCCTTTCCTTTCCTGTCCTGTCCTTTCCTCTTCATCTATTATTTCCTTCCCTTTTCTTTCCCCAACCTCCCTTGCTCTCTCTCTCCCTCCCTGCCCTTCATCTCCCCTTCTCCTTCTCTTCCTCCTCTCTAGAAACACCCTGCATTGGACTGAGAAGCCAAGCAGGGTGAGTTTTCTGGATGTGCTTGCTTAGCTAATTCACACTTTCCCCCAATTCATGCCGTGTTTCCTTTTTCTATCTATCCTTTGTTTATTTGTCAGTTTACTCTGACTTCTGCAAAGTCAGAAGTAATGCCGCCATTTCTTCTTCCATTTCACATTAACCCTGTGATTTTGGTCAGCGCTAAAATGAGACTGCAGATAAGGTGTTGTTTAGATCAGCTTCTGTGAAACCAGAAAACTGAAATTATGTGGGTTAATTGGACGTGAAAGTCAACTTTTGTCAAAAGCCTCTGGCTGCAACTGGACGCTTGCAAAACGCAATATATTCTTTTCTTCATTTTACCAGTAGGCCCTTGTTTGAACCAGACGAGACTATAATTCCAGCTGTCTTGCAGACTTCTGCGTTGGTTCACGATAACGTATCTGGGCGGTTGATTTCCAAGTCTGTAAAGTTATGCACAAATGTGATTTCCCTGTCTTCCTTCTTCTGTATCAATGCATCAAGTAGTCTTGGTCCTGGTACTTTGCTGAAATCACTTCCTTTTTCAAAAAAATTTAAGGGGTCTTCTCCTGGCATTCTGTTTTTCTGCTACAAAGAATTTAGTGTTTAATCCATTGCTACATAACTTTGTAATTTCACTCCCCCTTAGCTTTATTCCCTTCTTTTATTCTGGTTTCTTGGCTATAGCAAGAGAGGAAGGACCAGATAAAACTATTTCTTCCTCTCCCTTCAAATATTTTGAGAGCCGGATCGCAAACAGATACGCTGAATATCAACAGAAGAGAACCTTCTCAGGGTTGCTCAGGGTTGAACTGTGGGGTCCTTGGGCCTCTCTGTGCCCGGTTGTTTTCTTGCAGGTGTTTCATGATCCATCTAGGTAACATCATCAGGGCTAGAAGGAGTTTGCATGTCAACAGAGAGCAAAGCCCCACTCCCTTCTAGCCCAGCACTGGAAACACTGGTGCAGGTGGATGGATGGATGAGAAACACTGATTGAGATAGATAAATGGATGGATGGATGGATGGATGGATGGATGGATGGATGGATGGATGGATGGATGGATGCAGTGGTAGGATTCAGCCAGTTCGCACCACTTCGGAAGAACCAGTTATTAACTTTCTGAGAAGTTTGAGGAACTGGTTGTTGGAAGAAATCATTAGGGCAGAGAACCAGTTATTAAATTATTTGAATCCCACCACTGAATGGATGGATGGATGGATGGATGGATGGATGGACGGACAATTGAGAAACATTGGTGTAGAGCAGCAGTTCTAAACCTGTGGGTTGGGACCCCTTTGGGGGGTCGAACGACCCTTTCACAGGGGTCACCTAAGACCATTGGAAAACATATATTTTTGACAAAATATGGAAAACATAAAATAATTTATGGCTGGGGGTCACCACAACATGAGGAACTGTATTAAAGGGTCACGGCATTAGGAAGGTTGAGACCCACTGGTGTAGAGATATAAATGGATGGATGGATGAATAGATGGTTGGATGAATAGTTGAGAAACATGGGTATAAATACATAATTCATTTGTTTTTGGAGCTCACCTCTTGTATGGAGTCTTGACCTAAGGAAAATACACCAGATTTCTTTGGTTGTGCTGGATCAATGGCTTTTTAATCTTACCAACGCAACCCTCCCAAGTTCTGAAGCCCCATCACTTCCTTAAAGTGTTGCTCTGTTCCAAATAGACCTGCCACATTCGACACTGATGGGTTGAACGAACCTTTGGCCGTTTTTTTGGCGAATGCCACGTTAACTCAGCCCTCAATTCAGGGCCTTTGCAGAGGTTTCTGGCTGGGGTGCTTAACCTCTACTCTTCCCCTTCCCCTTCTCCAAATCCTTGGCAGCTTTGCTCCATGGACGGCCAAGGCAGGTGCGCCTTTTTCGTTCACAAGAGAAAATCTTTTATCTCCATCTGTATCAAAAGCTTAGAGCTCCTTTTCCAATTACTCTGTTAATTGTTTAAGAAATTGCCGGAGTAAAAAAAGGAAAAAGGAGAAGTCTCTAATCTTTTTTTTTCTTTTTTAAGGACTTAAAAAAGAATCAGGGCCAGAAACTTCCTAAATTAATTTTCTTCATGAATACTTTTTTCTGAATGCAGATTTGTGAGTCAGGGGGCGACTTTTGTCTGTCTTCCAAGCACCTGGCTTGCTATTTGCACATTTCTCTCTTCTTTCCACCCCCTCCCTTCTCGCCACACAGTTCTTCCATCAATTGTGCTCAGAACAAGCCTATTTTGGAGGAAAAAAACACAAGATTGGGACAGGATTTGGTATTTATTCATTTCAGAATAGAAGAACTTGGCTGGGCAAACCATTGGGTGAACCAATTCCCTCGTAGTTGCTACAAGCCACATCTTGTCTCTACAGATCTTAAAACTATGAACAATGAAGAAAACAGGGTGCAATAAAGAGGAATATTAGTATATTATTACGGTGATCATGTTCCTAACTCAATCTAAGATGCCAGAGCTTCCAAAATGGAGCCGTGATTCTCGCCATTGCATTACTTGCAAGAGAGCTGTAATATCGGAATTGCCTTGGTGAGAGGCATCTTTAATTTTGAGTTTTCCTAAGTCTTAAATTAAAAAAAAAATCTGTACATATAAAAGCCAAATACCACTCACTCATCCTAAAAGCTCCATAACTGTAAAGCCCACAAACTTGAATTTGGCATATATGTTTCTCTTGGTTTCTAGGTGCTCACTAAGAATTTTTTTTGAAAATGACCATCAGATCATCAGTATTTATATTAACACACATCAATGCTAAAGAGTTAGACGTTCTACTTCCCCTCCCCACCTGAAAGGAACTCTGTTCCAACTGCCAGTTGCCTTATATTAACACACCCTGATGTTAAGGAGTTACACATTCTACATTAATTTTCAAGCTTTAAGTGTCAGTGTATCAAGCCCGACCATAACTACTGATTAATTTACAAGCTTTAAGTGTCAGTGTATCAAGCCCCATTACAGAGTTTCGTAGCAAAGCACGGGTATCCAGCTAGTATATTATAAAAAGATGCAACAGCTGGGAGAAATGGATGCTCTGGGTTACCTCACCCATGAATGAAATCATAATTGTTCAAGATCAGTTGCCCATTTCAAGTTAACCGTTGATTTTACAAAAGGGCTGATTAGTTCTCCCAAGTTTTTCATAGGAAGCATATTAATTTTTGTGATTCTGATTACCATTTCTCCAAACACAATTGGTTTGCTCTATTCTATAGGAACTGAATGATTTAACAGAGGAATATTTTTTATTAATGCCCAGAACGATGTAGTTTACAAAAGAAACCTGACGTATTCATGAAAGGTTTTTGTGTGTGTTAAGGTTTTGAAAAGAGAGCAATTCTGGCACTGACTTTCTCCCTCCCTCATTTTGCAAATGTACTTCTTAAGAAGCTTAACGGAAAAGTACATTTTTCAGTCTGCCATTTGCAGGAAGAAGTGCCTTGGGAATTTGGTTTAGGACATATTTAAGTTAGGAAAGTTACAACGGTAAGATATGATTTGGCTCTAAAGCAGAGGGGTTCTTGTGGGACTCTTTGAGTCAGTTCTGACTCCTGGAAATTACGTCAACGGATCCCTGCCATTGTCTCTCTCCTAGGGCTGAGAGGCTGTGACTGGCTGAAAGTCACTCAGCTAGTTTCACCCCTACAAGACTATTGTTCAAGTTTCCTGGTTTCTAGCAGCCTTAGATACAGATTAACAGAGGTCGAAGGGACCTTATAGGTCATCTAGTCCAACCCCCCACCCAAGCAGGAGACCCTTCACCATTTCTAACAGATGGCAGTCCACTCTTTTCTTGAAAGCTTCCAGTGATGAAGCTCCTACAACTTACGAAGGCAACTTCTGTTCCATGGGTTGATTGTTCTTACGGTCAGAAAATTTCTCCTTATTTCGGGGTTGAATCTCTTCTTGATCAGTTTCCATCCGTTATTCCTTGTCTGGCCTTTGGGTGCTTTGAAAATAGCTTGACCCACTCTTCTCTGTGGCAGCCCCTCAAATATTGGAAGACTGCTATCCTGTCTCCCCTGGTCCTTCCCTTCACTAGACCAGCCATGCTCAGTTCCTTCAACCATTCACCATACGTTTTCGTCTCCAGTCCTCTAATCATCCTGGTTGCTCTTCTCTGCACTCTAGAAAGAGTCTCAACATCTTTATTTACCATAGCAATCTGGTCCTTACAAAAGCTAAGCTAAATCGTCTTTTTAAGCCGATGGACGCGCCTAGAAAGTTTGAGACTGGGCTGTGGGTTGAGAGAGGCAGGACTGCTTCCAAAGGAAATTATTTGCAGGCAGGTTGGCTGCCCAAACAGACACACACATCACACTACGCTGGTTTGTTTTATCACAGTTTATTAAAGAACCTATCAGCTCAGTTCACCCAGTAATTTAAGTCATACCCCCGTTTACAGGTCTCGATGGTTAGGTAGTTAACAGAGAGTCCTCAACTTACGGCCACAATTGAGCCCAACATTTCTGTTATCAAGCAAGGCGTTTGTGAAGTGAGCTTTACCCCATTTTATAACTTTTCTTGCCACAGTTGTTAAGTGAATCACTGCAATTGATTAATGACTGATCTGGTTGTTAAGTGAATTTTTTAAGAATCACAAAGATACAAGTATTCCTTGAACATACGACCACAATTGAGCCCAAAATCTCTGTTGTTAAGTGAGACCTTTGCTAAGTTTATTTTGGCCCCATTTTACGACTTTGCTGGACACGATTGAGAAGTGAATCACTGCGGGCGTTAAGTTAGTAACACGGTTAAGTGAACCTGGCTTCCCCATTGACTTTGCTTTCAGAAGAACGACAAAGGGGACCACGTGACCTTGGGACACCGCAGTGGTTCTAAGTACGAGCCAGTGGCCAAGCATCTGAATTTCGATCACAAGGACCATGAGACTGCTGCAACGGTCGTAACTCTGAAAAATGGCGGTAAGTCACTTTTTTTCAGTGCCCTTGTTAACTTTGAATGTACAGATCTGCATTACTATTGGATTAATTTGTTCAAATTAAATCTTCTCCTTTTATTCATCTGATTGCATCCGACCTGTTTTGAATTCAAACTAGCATTATACAGTTGCCTATTACATCCTAAAGCCAAGCATAGAGGTAAAGGTAAAGGTTCCCCTTGCACACATGTGCTAGTCGTTCCCGACTCTAGGGGGCGGTGCTCATCTCCATTTCAAAGCCGAAGAGCCAGCGCTGTCCGAAGACGTCTCAGTAGTCATGTGGCCAGCATGACTAAACGCAGAAGGCACACAGAACACTGTTACCTTCCCACCAAAGTTGGTTCCTATTTCTCTACTTGCATTTTTTACATGCTTTCGAACTGCCAGGTTGGCAGAAGCTGGGACAAGGAATGGGAGCTCACTCTGTTACACGGCACTATGGATTCGAACCGCCAAACCACTGACCTTTGTCATCGACGAGCTCAGCGTCTTAGCCACTGAGCCACCATGTCCCTATAAAAGCCAAACATCTTTAATCATCAAACATAAGCTTTTCTTTTAATTGCAAGATCTAAAATGCAGCCTATTTTACCTGCATCCTGCACCAAAGGCTCCACACGTCACACTTATCAAGACTAGTTTTTCTGCTACCATGAAAGCATTTCGTACTTGGGCTGAAGAACAGAACGCCTGTTTCAAGTCAGATGCTAAATAATTTGGGGCGTTTGACTCTGAGAAAATAAAGACAGTAGCCAAGGGATTAGGCAATGTTATTTTGAGCTCATTTGAGCTAATTGTTTAAATCACTACAGCTAGAATAAAAATGTTGTGTCGCAGTTCCGTTCCTTTCCCCAGAATTCCTCAACTTTAGCCATACATTCTCCTTGGCACAGTACAGTAATATTGGTCGATGCTCCTTGCTTTATAAAATAGGGATTTGTTGAAGCATATGTTCCATTCATGATGGGTTCAGAGTGGTATCACTGGTTTCCCAAAAGAAACAGAGTTGCACTTTACAGATTAACAGAGTTGGTCATCTAGTCCAACCCCCTCCTGCCCAAGCAGGAGACCCTACACCCTTTCTGACTGATGGCAGTACAGTCTCTCCTTGAAAGCTTCCAGTGGTGAAGCTCCCACAACTTCCGAAGGCAACTTCCGTTCCACTGAATAACAGAATAACAGACTTGGAAGGGACCTTATAGGTCATCTTGTCCAACACCCTCCTGCCCAAGCAGGAGACCCTACACTAGGCATCCTCGAATTATGGCCCGTATGTTGGATATAGCCCACCAATGCAAAGTATCTGGCCTGTAGAGTGGTGGGATGAAAAGCAGCTGTGAGCTTATAAACAAGTGCTTTAAAAGTCTTTAAAAACAGCCTTTCAGATGTTTTTCACTGCCGTGTGTTCCAGGGCTAGTGGATGGGTGAGTAGGAAGGGCGCTGCTTTTAAAGTAGTGCTTTAAAAGTGAGTGGGTGGGTGGGGGACATATCTCCACCTCTCCTGGCTTTTTTCAAAATCAGCTGAAGTTGGCTAACACTAATTCAATTGCAACCACAGTACAATGTCCGAAGGAGAATTCGCCCACTGCTTTGATTCTTCCCATATATAAAGTACATCCACCAAATTGGTTGCTGAACAATTTTGGTAGATATTCATGTGAGCATATACACATGTGTGGCAAAAAGCAAATCAGTTTGTGAATTTTCCTCCAGGCTCAAAAGACCTTTAGCCCTGAAATCCCAAACAAGCAGGCCCACACTTCCCTCTGAATTAGTAGCCATATGTATGTTGGTTAAAATCGTTCTTCATTTTAAATATTGTATTATTTCATGTTTTTTTGCACTACAAATGAAGATACGTGCAGTGTTCACAGAAAATTGTTCATTTTTTTCCCAAATGATAGTCCGTCCTCCTTAATTCACCATTGGAGACTGTGTCTGTGTGTGTGTGTGTTGATTTTCCCTTGTGGGGGCGTTCTTAAGTAAATAGATCCCTTGGGTGGAGCAAGTACAGCAAGGACAAAGGCAAAATAGACTGCTAAATTGGCCACGACCACCCAGTCACATGACCACCTAGCCATGCCCGCCCACCCAGTCCAACCCCCCCCCAACAGTGAGAGGGAGCGTGAATTGGCCCCCTGTTCAAAAAGTTTGAGAACCCCTGCCTTTCACCATTTCTGACAGATGGCAGTCCAATCTCTTCTTGAAAGCTTCCAGTGATGAAGCTCCCACAACCTCCGAAGGCAACTTCTGTTCCATCCGCTGATTCCTTTCCAAAAATCTTACAAACAAGGCCCATCTACTGGCAAGATTTTTTTAAGCCCCAACTTTCCTTGGGAGTGTTCATCCTTCATTAACACACCCTCCATCCATCCATCCCAACATTCCCTCACTTTTAAATAAAAAAACAATCTTTCTTAAAGGGCGATCCAGACATGGAAAGCGATGGATTGTAAATGGCCACAGCATAGATCAAGGGGTAGAGCCAGGCTATCTCTGTTATGAGAGACCTTGGTGGCTCTCTTTGGCCAACAGACATCATCCTCTGGTTGATCAGTAGAAGACCTTCTCCCTACTCCTGTGATTCGGCGTTGGGTTCAAAGGAGGCACCAGGCCAGAACAGTCTCTGCCTTTCAGTCTCAGGTCTGCAGTATTTGAGTTTTTTGTCTCAGCCAGGATAGGATCCGTGAAGGTGGTGACCACAGCATTGGTGGGAGCTTTCATTAGAACTGAGGTGGGGCTCATCCAAGGATTTAATGCACTAAGAAACCTGAGAAGGAAGAGGACAGAAAGTTGTTGTCAATGGTTGGGAAGTTGGAAAGATTTTAGTTCTTGAAGACACAAGAGCCACCGAAACACAAGTCCAGTTTCAAGTGGATTTCTCCCACATTTTCCATCCGACATGGTTCTGAAAGCTACTCCACTATCCACTATCTTTCCTAGATTTTACAATAGAATAGAATAACAGAGTTGGAAGGGACTTTGGAGGTCTTCTAGTCCAACCCATTGCTTAGGCAGGAAACCATACACCACTTCACCATCTTTTCTTAAAAACTTCCACTGTTGGAGCATTTATAATTTCTGGAGACAAGTTGTTCCACTGATTACTTGTTCTAACTGTCAGGAAATTTCTCCTTAGTTCTAGGTTGCTTCTCTCCTTGATTAGTTACCACCCATTGCTTCCTCTCCTGCCCTCAGGTGCTGCGGAGAATAGCTTGACTCCCTCTTCCTTGTGGCAGCCCCTCAAATATTGGAACACTGCTATCATGTCTCGCCTAGTCCTTCTTTTCATCAAACTAAACATACCCAGCATGTGATTTTAACATTTTAACAGGGATTATATGTATCTCCAAAACCTTAGCAACTAGTACAATTCCCAGTGTAATCATTAATATATCAAAATGCCCTCTCAGCGAACCGGTAGTAAACCGGTTAAGAACCCACCACTGAACTGTTACCTTCCAAGTTGGGGGCTTAACACTGAATTTCGGAAAAGTGACGTCCAGGCAAAACTTCCAATGCCGAATGGTGCCAAAGTTGTTGGGCCAAATGCTGGGGTCATAGGAGGCACAGCCATGGCAGAAATGGGAAATGTTCTCCAGGTGGAGTCCAAGAGGGGTGTCTGGGTCAGTGGGATGTCCAAGTACAAACCCAGAGGAGGGGTCCAGGAGATGCCAGCCCTGTTTCCTGGAATCTCCGCTTTTTCCCGTTTCCTCCACTTCGCCCTTCGGTTCTGAAACCAGACCTTTGAAGAAAAGAAGAATAGAATAGACAAAATTATGCATATAACCATATATATGACACAGAAAAACAACACAGTCTAGTTCAGATGTATACCTGTACATTGCGAGAGAAACAAATCTTGTTAGTTTACCAGATGGATGGCACAGGGAACAAAGCTGTTACAGAATCTGGTAGTCCTGCTAGAAATGCTTCGAAACTTCCTCCCAGAGGGGAGCGACAGAAACAGACCATGGAATGTGTGTGTGTGTGTGATCTCTAACAATGCTTTGAGCTCTAAGCACATCGCGCTTATAAGCAACATCCTGAATAACGGGAAGCAAGATTTCTATAATCATCTCCGCTGTCCTCACCACTCTCTGTAGGGACTTTCTATCTGAGGCATTGCGGCCACCAAACCAAACAGGGATGCAGTTTATTACAATCTCAATTGGGCCTAAAGTGGCCAGGACAGAAGGAGAAAGATTAAATCCATTGTCTGTCATTTCCATTGCTGCCTCCTCTCTTGGAAGCTTTTCTTACTCACTGATGGGTTTCACGTGTTCCAGGCATGATTAAACATTAAAGGTGGTTAGCTTGATGCCACTGCCACTTGGAAATGAATGGGTAACAACTTCAGACAGGACATTTAAAGACTCAGCATATCATTCAAAGCTGAAATTTCTTCATCCTGGGCATCATCTTCCAAACCCGGAAGAGAGAATAAATCAGAAATCCTAATTCCTTTCCAAGGGGATGCGGTGGCTCAGTGACTAAGACGCTGAGCTTGTCAATCAGAAAGGTCGGTGGTTCGAATCCCTTGTGCTGCGTAATGGAGTGAGCTCCCGTGACTTGCCCCAGCTTCTGTCAACCTAGCAGTTCAAAAGCACGTAGAAATGCAAGTAGAAAAATAGGAACCACCTTTGGTGGGAAAGTAACAGTGTTCCGTGCGCCTTCGGCATTGAGTCATGCCAGCCACATGACCATGAACACGTCTTTGGCTCTTTGGCTTTGAAACGGAGATGAGCACCACCCCCTAGAGTTGGGAACGACTAGCACATATGTGTGAGGAGAACCTTTACCTTCAATTCCTTTCCCTTCCTATTTTCAGCCCAGCTAAGCTCAACTAGAAAAGGAGGAAAAACCGGCAGTTTCTGTGTCTCCCTCTCTACATGTCTAAACATGAAGCTAAGCTTTTCTACTCAACCTGGTAGTGAGTTTTACACACTTCCAGAAGATTGTGGTTTTAGAGAGGGCCATAACCTTCGAGTGAAGCCCCTTTGTAATGTCATCTTAACATCGCAACAGATAACAAATGCTACCAAAACTCTTCACCTTATTACAGTGTCTTCTGCACAATGCTGCTTATTATTTTTGTTCCTATTTATAACTGCCAGGCCTTTAAAATTGTACTGTGGATGTTTTTAACTGTATTATTTATTCTGCGGAAGCCAACAAGAGATTTAAAAAACCCCACCTGAGGCAGGATAGCAACGTATTCAATAAATAAGTAATTCTCCTTGGATTCCAGTAGACGTTTTGGTGTCTGATCACTGGATAAGTAACGTTGCCTTAGTAGTTCATGCTCAGCCCAGAAGGAAAGAAACACCTGTCCCTTACCTGGACTCGAGCTTCTGTAAGGTCTAACTGTAGGGCAAGTTCTTCCCTGAAAGACAAAGACATCTTAATATTGAGACAATTTTGAGACTCCCCAAATCCCACCCAATGATGCACCTGGGAGTTTTCAGACTTCTCAAGAGACTGCAGTGCCAAGTTCCACAGGGGGAAAAGAGCCCCCAGAGTTGGCTAAGCGTATGAGAGGAACTGGAAATGCCCCTGGATTACTAACCAAGCTGGCTTGCTTTACCCTGGTTTATCAAAAGCCGCATCTCTCAAGAGGAGGCAGAAAATACCCCTCCCCAAGTTTCTGAACAGCACCCCATATATCACCCTACTCCAGAAACTTCTCCATCCCCAACCAAGACTATTACCAAAACCCTCCTACTACTACTACCACTTTCTTCTCCTCCTTCTTTTCTTCTCTCTCCCTCCCACTTTTTCCTCCGTCCCCTTGCTCCTCCTTTCTCCTCCTCCTCCTCCTCTCGCCCCAAAGAAAGGGGTCTCCGGCAAAGCCCCCCCCCACCTGGTGAAGACGTCGGGGTAGTGGCACTTGCGGAAGGCGCCCTCCAGGCCCTGCAGCTGGACGTGGCTGAAGGTGGTGCGGTAGCGGCGCTGCTTGCGCTTCTGCGGCTCCGTCGCTTCGCGGGCGCTGGGTGGGGCGGCCGGGCCGGGAATCAGCCCTCTCTCGCCCGGCTGCCCTTCGTCCGCTCGGCTGCCCGGCGTCTGCTGCTTTTCCCCCCGCCGCGGCTCCGCTTCTTCTTCTCCCCCCCGCGCTACCTGCTGCAGGAGGGGTCCGGGAGGCTGGCGCTTCTCTGCGGCGTCCCCGCCGGCTGCGTAGAGGAAGCAAAGCGGGGTCTCCTTCTGCAGCGACTACTCCCCCAAGACTTCCCCCCAGATAAGAGGTCCCGGCTGGACTTCGGGACTGACCCACGCGCGTGGAAGTCCTGAGAGCCGTTTTCACGCGCATAGAAGCCGTAGAAGCCGTTTCCACGAGCTCGCAAGCCCCACTTCCACGCGCGTGGAAACAGCCCCGGCTGGGTCCGTCCCTCCATCTGTCCGAACGCGGCTCCATCCCCGCGCTCAACGGGATGGAGAGGAACCCTGCGCTCTACACGCGCCGTCTAGGGTACCACTCCAGCGAGCGCCCACATCCCGCCTGTCGGGGTCCCACACCCGCGTGGAAAGTCAGAGGGAAGGGTCCTTGCGCCCCCCCCCTCGCCCACCATGCCACTTACTGTGATCCCCGGTCCCACCCAGGATGCGGTCGAGGAAATAGGTGGCCAGGAGGTGCAGGGCGGGGGCGCCACCGGGACAGGCGCTCTGCATGGCTACTGACCGTCCCGCGTCCCGCGAGGGGTTTTATCCGCCCCGGGGGCGTCCTCGTAAGCAACTCAGGGGCGGGGGGGGGGGGGACAAACCCCACCCGGGTCCCTCCGATGGGATTTAAGCAGGTTGTTCCTGCGACGTAGTAAGCTCCACCTTCCCCCAGCCATTCTCCGCGGAGAGAAGCGAGGTAGAGTTTCTCTTTGCAACTAAATGGATTTGGGGCAGGGAGCGCTCGCCTCCCCCTCCCAAACCAGAGCTGTGGCCGACAGAATTAATTCACTCCGTTTCACACACACACACACGCACACACCCCAGCTAGACTGTACCACATTCTGTTTGCGCGTGTTGCTTGGTGCATTGGTCAGCACTAAGCGCATCATCGCATTCGCATGGCAGCGTTGTGGCGCGTGTGTGCGAAGAGCCGAGTAGGAGAGAAGCATATTTTATTTTCGAAATAAAAGAATCCCAGGTTGCAGAAAAGAAACAAGTCAGCATTTTACAAACTGGACGACCTTCAGATGGGTGGACTTCGACTCCCATCATTCGTTCCCCAACCAGCACCTGAAAGTTTGCGGGAACAGACAAGGCTGCCACGATATGGACGGCCGCTAGGGGGTTGCACGAAGTTTCAGAAAGCGCTCTTTGCTGCCCTCTAGCCGTCATTTATCTCTCTTTTAATGACCTGACTAGGGTAATCTTCACGATTGTAATGTGCTTTCTATCCAATCCTATAGGAAGCCAGTGAAATTTATCATTGAAGCCACAAGGCTGGGTCAATAGAATAGAATAGAATAGAATAGAATAGAATAGTAGGAGAGGAGAGTATGAAATGGAATAAGGAATATGGAATAGAATAGAAATAGAACTTTTTATTGGCCAAGTGTGATTAGACACATGTCATAGATTCAACCCAGGCTGGGTTTCTACAAGATGCCTAGCAAAAGTCTTGTGTTGGCTTATTTGTAGTGGAAAGTGGCTTTATTACCTTGCATAATGGAGCCAGTTTTTTTTTAAAGACACAAAATTTCAGCCTTATGCTTAAAATTCCTTTCCAGCCTCTCTGAGAAATTCCAAGGAAGTTTGCTAAGATCAGAGTCTTCTCTTGCCCAGAATAAAAATTGTGTGTTTTAGACTAGGCTTTGCAAAAAAAGATTTGATGTGATCTGCAGCACTGTGGGGGCTTTGATATGGAACGAGAAGCGAGGAGGTAAAGCGTTTTCCTTTGCAAACTGTGATGGTTCAAGATTCCTGATTCAAAGACCCATCCAGTTGTGCAGGTTGTTTTTGGAGGAAAACAGTTGCTAAAAAGTGAATTCCTCACTCCCTCTTCTGGTTGACCTGGGCAATGTTATCAGAATCAGGCTTTCTTCCCACCCACCCCAATTAGTAATCAATTAATTAAGTAGAATCCAATACCCTGAGTTTACCAATGGAGCCCAATGGTCTTTTTCAAATGCGGCAATTTTAAAATGCGCAGACCTCAATTCCTCTCCTTCCCAGTCTGAAAAACACCAAATTAAACCCACGACTGACTATTGAGTTGAAATAAGTTTGTTATTTTGCTCCAAACTTCCCTTAAAATCTGGATAACTGGGACACACCCACACCCACACCCACCCAGAGGGAGCAAGACAGAGAAAGAGAAAGAAGAGAGAGAGAGAGAGACACACACACACACACAGAAAGAAGAAAGTGAAAAAGAGAAAGAAAGAGAGACAAAGAGAGGGAGACAGGGACAGAAAGAAAAAGAGAAAGAAGAAAGAAAAAAGAAAAAGAAGAAAAAGAAAGAGACAGAAAGAAGAAAGAGAAAGAGAGAAAAAGAAAGAAGAGAAAGACCAAGACAGAAAGAAGAAAGAGAACAAGAGAAAGAAAGAGAAAGAAAGAAAGAAAGAGAAAGAGAAGAGAAAGAAGAAAAAAAGAAAAAGCAACAGACAGAAAGGGAGACAGAGAGAAAGAAGAGAAAAACAGAGATAGAGAGAAAAGAAAGAGAGAAAGAGAGAGACAGAGAGATACAGACAGAAAGAGAGCGAGAAAGAGAAAGAAGAGATAGAGAAAGTCAGAACTAAAGAAGAAAAGAAAGACAGAGAGAAAGAAGAAAGAGTGAGAGAGAGAGAGAGCAATGATGGTGCTTAGCAGCTTAGTGAACTAACTAGATTTAAATATTGCACCCTAGAAAGGGTATGTTTGAATGTGCAGTCTCCATAAAAGCAGTTTAATAGGTCCTGGAATAATTAATATAGAAGAATTGGTTTCTACTAACTTCACACTTCAAAACAACTTTCTCAGACAGCAAAAGAAAGAAGCTGTTTTCGCAAAACTAATATTTGGAAGGTGTGTGTGTTATATTTGCCTCCAAAGGTAACTGCATCTCTGTCTCAGTTTTCACTTTAAAAAAAAAAAAAAGGTCTCATGGATAGATTTATTAAGGAAGATACAAAGCCATTTCACCGATTGGTCATTTCGGATGTGATGGGCACGCTGTGTATTTCAATTACACTCTGTGTCAAATATCCGAAGGCCAGTTGGTTATTAGCATCCATTATAATTTATGTTGCAGTAATAAGTTGTCAAATTCAGCAATTAAGCGGCTTTGATTTATTTCTTCCTTCCTGATGCCCTCCTCAAAAAAAAAACAAAAAAAGCGATTTTAGCCTTATAAGATTGACAAGCTGCCCCCCCCCCCGCCCCCGGGGCAGGTTCTACAAAACAGTTTGCAGAAGGGCTAAACTGAAATGCATTGTAATTAATCTGTAACTCGAATTATTAGAGGGAGAAAAATGAAAACTTGGTTTTGTTGTGAAATCTGTGCTTGATTTTGCAACAATTGTTTGGCATGAAAACATTTTGGGGGTTTTTTGGTTTGATTTTTTTTGAAAACCCTAGTTGAAGGCAAGGGATGCGGTGGCTCAGTGGCTAAGACGCAGAGCTTGTCGATCAGAAAGGTCAGCAGTTCGGTGGTTCGAATCCCTAGCGCCGCGTAATGGAGTGAGCTACCATTACTTGTCCC